ATTTTTTTTGAAAATTGGATGAATCCTAGCGTGACGGTGAAATGGTTAATGAAGCGTGAGTAATTGGGGTACGGGTATCGGCCGCGTTGGGACCCAAGGCCCATTGTTCTTCGTGACGCCGACGCAGTGATCAGGAGCGTGGGGACGAGAGGGCTTAGTGGACTCCTGTATGAGCCACGTTTAGCAAATGGTCTAATGAGTCTCGAGGCTCATCACAGATTGCACTTACCACTATCCTGGTGGCCCCGGCTATCAGAGCAAGGAGTACCAACTTTTGAAAAGGATAACAGTGTTGTGGAGATATGTCAAAGCAACGTTGTGAACAAAACGGAGTGAGTGAAATTCTCATTCAAGGAGTGCCGAACTGGTCAGCCATCCTCGAATCAGTTCGCTTGCTTCCGCTTATATATGCATATTTTAAATCAGCGCGCCCCATTCTAAGGTTTTTTTAAAAAAAACCAAGAAACGTAGACTCTTGGTATTCATTACACATAAACTAGCGAGCCCCAGAATGAGAAACAAATTTTAATCATTATTATTGACGGATTAGTAAACTTTTTACACGCTTTGGAAAATCTCAGAAGTTCGCGGTAGTCACTTTTCGGTAAGGAACTAGGGGACTCGGTTATTGTATCGAGGGGGGGATCGAAACGATCGCAAAGGCGGTATACTACGTATACGCGCCAAAAAGGAGATGTTTGCATCTTGAGGTTTGTTTACCCTGTGTCGTAGGTCGGTAAAACCTGGCCAGCGAATTCCGGAATTCGAAATATGAAAAACGGTCCATAATGTCCGATTTTTTTACTTAAATCAACTCATTATATAATTTCAATCACTTTTTATAGAATGATTTTTTTCCATAAATTACACCATTTCCAAAAGAAAATCGATGATAAAAGTCGCTGTACCGACCTACATCATGAAAAAAATTCTAAAATGCCTGAAATGCAAACAACTCCTTTTTTTTCTCTATGCTTGAACTTTGCTTCCGAATCCGATTTCCCGCCCACTGTGGCGGAGCAATCCGGCCGGAAAAAAGCGCCGTAATCCGCGTCCGGAATTTATCATCTTCGCCGGGAAAAAGCAAAAGCGCTTTGTTTGCACTCGACTCGCGTTTAGGCCGGGCACCGGGGATTTTTAGCAGCGGCGGTGGCGGCGATAGCGGGCATTTCTAATGGCATTCATTACCCTGGCGGCCGCCTTATTAATCTCGCGCATCAAAGGGAGTTAAATGAATTACGGAAACGCGCACTCAATCACGGGCCGCCCGCATAAAACAGCAATATTCCGGAACCTGAATGGATTCGGCCATGCATCATCGCACCGTCCTTCGGTTTCCCCGTGTTTTATTGCCGCGCTAAGCGGGAATCGCGCAACTGCAATGCTAGTTTTATTGAAAAATGCGAATTATGCCGTGATGTGGTCAATCAGGGGCGAGCTTTTGAAAGACGAAAATGCACGCGAACCCCGACCGTTTGAGATTCAATTTTGAAAAGTAAAAGATTAAAATTTTAATAAAGCACTCACCGGGCGCAGTTTTAAATTGAAAGCTTTTCGGAGAGTATTTTCCATTATGTGGTGCGTTCTCCGAAACGCATGCTACATACTTTTCACCCTCTTCGGACCACATTGTGCAGGAAAATTATTTGATTGGATCGGAAAGAACCGTCGTAAAAATAGAAATTAATTCAAGCAACTGTGATTCTTCTCGAAGAGAGGAACGGTTATGGATGGGGACAATTTTTCAGGATACGGATTTTATACTGGAAAAAAAAAAACACATTTGATCTAGAGTCCAGACTCTTAAAAACATCGACAAGAAAAAATACTCTTGATTCAATCGGATTTTTGCTTAAATCAAGAACCATGCCTCTTAATTTGAGCGGATTTCCTTTTGATTTAAGCTTAAATCTGATTGATTCAAGAGTATCTTTTCTTGTCGATGTTTTCAAGAGTCTGGACTCTAGATCCAATGTGTTTTTTTTTTGTTTTTTTTCCAGTGTAGGCTAGAATTGTGGCATAAAATCGGTATTTCTGCAATGATTAACGACTATTTAGCGATCATTTCGTCACCTTCCAGTCAACGCATCACAATCACCGATGGAGCACCAATCCCCATACGAGCAAGACAAACGTAAAACGGATTAGGCTGATCACAGCTGTTCCAAACACAACGCAGTCTTAAAATTTTGAATAAATTTGAGATCGTTCACGATAAGAACGCGTGAGTTTTCTCAGCAATTTGCCGTGCTAAGGAAGAACGCCGTGCAAACCGTCAGACGTTGCCAAGTTTCCTTCGATAAAACCGAATTTACTGGGAAAATTGTGAACATTTGTTTCCAAAATTTTCAGACTATTTTGTACGCAATTTAATCCGAAATATCTGAAAATTTCAAAGAAAAATGCGCGTGAAGGTCGTCAAAAATACATGATTAATTTTAGGAAGTTTGGCAACTCTCGAATTTTCATACGGCGTTCTACCTTAGCACGGCGGCATTGGTCAGCGGCCGCCACCGCCAGGGATGGAGAAAAGGAGGATCGAAGAAGTGACGTCGGGAGTGCGGACAATACGTCGCTTTTCTGACGTAACGACGCACCTCCATTCCCACGTGAGCCCCATTTTTCATACAAATCCATGCTTTTTGGGGCTCATACGGAAATCGAGATACGCCTTTTTCCAGAGGAGCGACGAATGGCCGCGGGCGTTGGGTCTGGAGATGACGCGGGCCGGGCTTTAACGCTTGCCAATACTGCCACGCTGAAGGAAGACCATCCTATAAACACTCGAAGGTTGTCAAATTTTCTCAGATAAAATGATTATTCTGGAGAAAAATCATTGATATTTTTTTCTCGTTGAGGGTTACATTTTATTTCAAACCACGCATTATAGCAGACGAATTTCTATTATTTATGGTGACAAGACTACATAAAGTGAGGTTATTAATTTTTTTTTTTTTTTTTTTTTTTTTTTTTTTTTTTTTTAAAGGTAAAAGCTGGAGCCCTCTCTAGGTTGGGTTGGGCTTGGTCGCTAGACGAACAGCCACCGCACATAGTTAGTGCACATCCATGCAACAAGATTTTAGGGAATAAGGCTGAGTAAGATCTGTTTTTAGCAATTCTACTCGTCATTTTCGAAAAATTTTGACACCACTACCGGGATTCAAACCCGGGACCTGCTGACCTAGAGTCAGACGCGCTGGACCACTGGGCCAACATGGCCGGCAATTAAAATTCATGATTTTCTTTTAGGAATGCCACCAGTTTTTAAAAAAAAAAACATAAAAAATCAGAAAAATTTATTCTAAGGCAGTTTTGCTATAAAATATGTTAATGTGACGCTTTGAGGTGTGGTATAATGACAACAAATAAAGTTTGAACTTACCGAACTTGTCTGTGTGGATGAAAGGCAGCTGGATTGTCTTGGCTCACAAATCGGGGAAGCGAACCCTGAAGTAGAGCAAGCCGAAACACCAATAGCACACTCAGCTGAAAACAGAGAAGACAAATAAAGTTAGTTTATCTATCTCAATGCTGCATTGAGTTGGTATTTTGCCGAGAAAAAAAAAAAAAAAAAACTAAAAATGTGGTCCAAATTGCAACGCATTATCCTGTCTCCATTCATACACTTTTTAGAACGGAAAACAAAATAACGGTCTGATTTGACATTTGGAGAGTTCATTTTTTATAATCAAGAAATTTAAAGAATATTACTGTGGTGTAGTTTTTTCCTCTTTTAGGGATATTAGATATTTTAGCTAAGTTTGGAAATAGAAATATAGTTAAACAATGTCCGGTAAATCCGTAAAAATAAGAGAGAGAATTAGGAGTCATGAAATTCTTTTAGCTTGATTCTGGTATAAGCATGCGTCCATTCACGGAAAAAAAGCTGACGGAGGGTATGGATTTGATCAAAGTGAACGGATAGAAACGTAAGAATGTAAATCGATCGACGAACGCCTCAATCGATCGACAAATCCAAAAATATTTCAACAAAGCCGTGAATCTATCGACAGACTCGACTGAGAAGAACGATTTAAAGAATTTACTGATAAAAAATAGTACCTATAAAGTAATTCTGGAATGTTAGAACAAAGTTGACTTTGCTGTGACTGAATATGCTCGAGTTTAATAAGTATGATCGATTACAAAGCTCGGGAACCGATCGCAACAGAGTCACCTTGCGATAAGTTAGGTCACGCAACTAAACTAACTCTCCGGATACGCTGGAAGTATCACTCAAATTGAAGGCGCCTCACTTCTCACTGCGTAAAGCGATCCATGTGAATCAAATCCATTTCCGCCAAATCTGACAGGTGTGGGTACGTGAAAAAGCGGAAACGATACAAAAACACATCAACCCTATATTCTTCCTCTGCCGTACTAAGGAAGAACGCCGTATGAGCCATCGTCCGTTGCCCTATTTCAGTTTCAAAAAAGAAAATTTTCGGAAAAATCTGTAAAATTTCCCTCTAATTTTTAAGAGGATTGTATTCGCCTCCAAATCTAAATTTAACCGCGTTAAACAGAAGCAAACCAAGCCACATCAGTTATTGCCTTATTTGATAGGGCAATTTATTATTTTCGTCAAAACTGTCTTGCGTAAAATTTGGTGATTTCAATGAATTTTCTGCATTATACGAATCAAATTCTTAAAATTTTCAAAGGAATCCACAAAAAGTTTTCTTGTAAAAATAATGAAACTGCCCGGTTACATTTGGAAATAGCTGAATGACGCGGCTCGGTTCCTTTTTGCTTAACGCGGTCCAATTTAGATTTGAATGCGAATCAAGGTCCCTTACAAATTAGAGGAAGAATATTCACAGATTTTTCTGAAAACTTGTATTTTATCAAATGACATAGAAGTAGAATAAATAGTTGGTGTGATTTTGTATCGTTTCTGCTTTTTCACATACTCATATCCGTCAGCTTTGAAGGGAATGGATTTGATTCACATAAATCACTTAACGCAGTGAAAATTGAGGCGCCTTCAATTCGAGCGATACTTCTTGCTTTACCGTTAGGTTAGTTTAGTTGCGTGACCTAACTTAAACCAACCTGACTCTATTGCGACCGGTTTCCGAGCTTTGTGATCGATTAGAATCATTCTGCCGTGCTAAGGAAGAATGCCGTATGAACATTCGAGAGTTGCCAAATTTCCCTCGATAAAATGTTTCTTTTTGAGAAGGGTTAAACATCTTTTTCCTTGACATTTTCGGGAACTTTAGGTAAAATTGCAAAAGTATTATCTGAAAATTTGGAAGGAAGATATTCATAAGTTTACCAGGAAATTTGTGTTTATTCAAAGGTAATTTGGCAACGTTTGGCAAGGTTCATACGGCGTTTTCCGTTGCACGGTAGCATAAAACTCGGGCATATTCAATTACCGCAGATCAAGGTCCAATTGAACTGAGTTAAGCAGAAAGGAACCAACCCACATTTTGGAAAAAATTGAGTTATGAGTGATTTCAAACTCAACCACTGCTCTACTATCTATCGCCAAAAATTCAAAGTTTTTGTCGGAGCAAATTTTGCAGAAATTGAATTTGAAGTTTATCTTTTACATTGAGTCTTATGCAGGAGCTAAACTGAAAGCCTCTTTTTCTCGGTTCGATCCCGATGTGGGTTGGTTCCTTTCTGTTTAACTCCGTCCAATTATCTGAAAATTTTAGAGGGAAATAATCATAATTATTCTCTGAAATAAACATTTTATAGGAAGAAATTTGGCAATTCTCAAGTTTCAATACAGCTTTTTTCCACAACGTGGTGGTATTGGGTTCTTTTCTGAGAACATAGTACTCGAGGAAGCTGATCCTTCGTCCCCTGAGGACAACCAATTCAATTCTCTTTTCCGCGGATCAAAATTCGCAGTTTATGGCGGCGGTAAATCAGAGGACTGTTCCGCGTTGAAAAATTGGGAATTTTGCGGGCTGCGGTGCTTGAGCGAAGTGTCGCGAGGAAGATGAATGGTGCTCGGCGGGTGTCGGCGCTGGCTTCGGGGAGGGAAACAATTCTCATGGAAATGCCGCTGGAGGTGCCTCGCTGCCCCCGGTGGTAAGACGATGTTCGGAATCCTGGTCGCACGGCTGTTGCCATTGTGCGTTAAAATGTTAGCTCTCGTGGTGCACGGAAAAAAATGGACTGCTGATTTAAATTGGTAAAAAAATATGTCCAGCATGTTTCACATGTACATTTTACAGTTGTGAAAAGCTGATTTCCATATAAGGAGAGTAGCCAAATTGACATTTTTTTATTGTAAACTCTACATTGAAATACACCGGACACTTTTTTCAACTGCAAAATTGTTAAATCAGCAATATCATTTTTTTTCAGTGAGAAATGTCCTATGTCTCGTAATAAAGAGCCCGTTTGAATTGAAGTACATATCGACGGTGAAAGTCGGCAATCACATAACTCGTTTGCGGTGTCTGAAAATCTCCTATTTTATTTTTCTAAAGAAAAACGAATTTATATCATTCCTTGAAGTTTATGCAGAATTTTCTTCGCACACAGAAGAAAAATCTCGGCAGCATTGAAGAATTGCCGTTGAGTAGTTTTCCGTTTAAAAAATGAAGTATGACAGGAAGTCTGAGACATTTTTCTTGTTGTCCCCTCATGTGTTCCAAGCCACATTTCCTCCCAGAAAATTATTAATTTTGAAGGAAGTTATGCATATTTCTCCTTGAAATTTTCAGATATTTTACATCAAACGACGAACAAAATTATTTGCAGATCGGAAGAAAAATATGTATAAATTTTCCAGAAAATTAATGATTTTTCAAAGGGAATTTGGCAACATCTTAAGGCTTATACGGCGTTCTTCCTTAGCATGTCAGTGCAGCTCCTTTTGATCAAATACATCCGACCATTCGTCGTGCAAAATTTCATAAAGTCGGCAACCTCGCGCAGCACAACAAGAACGAGGCAGGTGATGCAGGACTTATTCCATCCTCCGGATTCGTGAAATCAGAGTCGCGTTGCCTTGCCCNGAAAAAGTGACACGTTTAAGCGCGACTGTATGCACGATGAGTAATGCAAACTGCTCCGTTTGTTAACCTCAACGGCCTGCCGCCGAGACTGACAACCTGGCTCCCCGTTCATCAATCACGTGGAGAGAGTCACGTTGTCAAATCGTGCGTAAATACGTCGTACGTACGTCGTCGTGTGTAATTCAGGGGAAAACCTCCTTTTGTTTATGTTGTGAGTACGGTAGGATTGCATTTTGCAAAAAGGAACCAGGATTTTGTAATGTTGCTAAGATTGTGCAACACGGAAAAAAAGAGGTAGGGGTTAAGTCCTCACTCCTCACTGTTGGATGGTATGGACATTCCCAATTAACTGTGGTAATACCCCGATTAATTGTGATAGTATCCCGATATATTAGGTTACTAACCCAAATGTTGCGTTACTACCACAAATTGATTTGCGGTGCTACCAACATTAATTGGAAATATTCATATCATTCAACAAATTTGGGTAGTAGGACAATTTTAAGGCCTAATACATTTTTTTCCGTAATACATTTTTTTAGCCCTAATACATTTTTTTCCGAGAACTTTGTCCATTGCAATTTAACTATATAGAAATCCTGAAAACATATGAAATTTACATCGTAACTTCCGTCTTAAATTTACAATTTTTAGCGAGTGAAATAGAAGCTCTTTTTAGATAGTCAGGTTTTTCTTCCAAGACAAATGAAGTTGCACAATCTTAGCAACATTGCAATGCTGCTGCTTCCTTTTTGCAAAATGTAATCCGGTGGGTTTAAGAGACATATAATATGGAATCTAATAGACTAGACATCTTCGAAGGATCATGAGTTTTTCGCGACACGTAAGTTTCCGATTGATGTGTAGAAAAAAATAAGTGGGACAGGAAGTTCGTAACATCGAAAATGGAGATACGTGGTTTCGCATTTTGGCCATCAGTATGCCTTAAGATGTGTTGAAATATTAAAATTTTTCCGTTTGCATTTCATCTTTTCCACGGTGGCCAGTTATTGCAACCCCGTGTGAAGAATTATTTTGAGTTCATGTTGGTAAATTTTTCTCGAGGTTCGCGAGACAATTTTCCATTATTACGCCATGTTACTGGCTCCCTGGATCTCCATCAATCATATGCACAAAATAAATCAAACTATCCTTTCTGGGGGAAAAATCTGGCTATCATTGATAAACAAGTATGGAAACGACCCTATGACGATAAAACAGGGGGTTTTGATGGAGATTGGCAACGGTGTAAGAACCTCCCTGTCGCGGCCACGAGCGAACACTTGACTAAATCTTTCCCCTTCCCTCCGTCCGCTTGGACCATTCGCCCTCTTGAGACGCTCCTTGGCGGTGCACGCCACGCTTGATATGCGCAGCTTTAGAAAATGAGCCCGGAAATAAAGTTGAAGAAGAAGAAGGAAGAGAAGAAGAAGAAGAGGGAGAAGAAGAAGAAGAGGGAGAAGAAGGATGAGGAGAAGAGGGAGAAGAGGGAGAAGAAGA